AAATATAAAAATAAATATTTAAAAATATTTGTTGAATTCCCATTCATTTTAATATGCCTAGGTATTTGGAATACAGATCTGAATGCAAAAAAAGTGATTATATTGTTTTAAAATAAACTTATAGATATATAAATTGTGCAAAACATATTTAAAAAGACCTGAATTGACTTGAGGTTGTTTATTATAAAATTTTGCTAATGTATTAAATTTTATATAGTAATTTGTATTTTAGACTTAATCACACAAAAATGTTCAAAAATCATCCAGAAAATGTAAAATTAAAATTCCGAGTTTAAGCCAAATTTTTTTAACAAAAGTTACCATTAAAAGTGGTATTAAATTGACATCTTTACTCAAATAAAATTAGCATTGCTTAATTCCTACCTGGCAGTGATAAAAATTTAATAAAGTGTTTCAGCCTGATCAATTATCACCTTATCATAAATAAAACAGCAATCATCACAGCATCCCAAGACAGTGAAAAAATTGAGTATGCAAAAAGAATTGAGAACTAAGCTAATGTTCCTGAAGCTTGTCTAATCGAATAAATTTGGATTGATTTAAAAACATCAAGTTTACAATAATAGTTGAGAAATTAAAAATATAAAATTATAACAATAAAGCATACTCTTTGGAGAATTTATAAGACTTTATATATATGAGGATGCCATAGAATAAAATATAAAAAAATATTAAACTAAACTGTGTAAATAAATAAACAACAGCTACGTTTAATACAAAGTTTAGTATAACATGCATTTATACTTAAATTCTATATAACATGTAAAATATTATGAAAAAAATTATGATTTTTATATCTTTTATAAAAATTTGAGTATTGGTTAAAATCCTACTTTTTTTTTTAATATCTAAACTAATTATTTTTTCAAACTTTTTGCTCCAGTATTTATTTCGATCTAAAGTTGGAAAGTATTTATTTCAATCTAAAGTTGTTTTAAAAATAAATTTTACTATGCTGTTTTTTTGATATGCTAATGTGCAATTTTTTTGTTTTAATGGAAGATCAGCAGTACAGCTATCATCTGGTGTAAAAAAACTCCATGTTAATGGAAGATCAGCAGCACAGCTATCATCAGGTGTAAAAAAATCTCCATGTTGGCTTCAATAGATACAGCTACTCAAAGTTTTTCAAAAACTACGTACTTAATAGCAATGGTTTCTAGACAACTGACAATTTTTTAACTTTATTTAACTTTTTCTAGTAAATTTTACAGCTGACTATTATAATCATGTTGATAAAAACAATATTAAAGCAAAAAACAAAACTCTCTGACAGACAGAAAATATTGAAGCAAAACACTACCAAAAACTCTCTGACAGCAATCTTAACTTTAAATGATAAAACTTAATTAGGCACTTTTGTTCAGAACTTTTATAACATTTGACAAGCTGAAAAAATAATCTAAAGCTTTAAACTTAAAAGATAATCTTCCAAAATCTGCTATCACTAAACAAAAAATTGTCAATAGTCAGGGCCTATTCTAGGAAAAAAAATTTGGCAGTGGTACCCATCTGTCCCAGAGAAATTTAGCTGAAAATCAGCGTTTTTTAGCAAAAAAAACAATATTTGCTGTAAAAACTTAAAAAAAAAAAAAAGATACTCAAATTTTAATTTGGCGCCCAAATACGGTCACCGCTGTCGAAAACAGTCTAGAATACCCCCTGATAATTATAGTAAAACTATTTAACAGTTATTAAAAAAAAGAAATATCAAAATATAAACTAAATGAAAAAAAAGGTCTAGTATTACCTTTAATGAGTGGAACACCTTAATAAAATATCAATACATAAAAATAAACAAATCTTCACTCAAAATGGCCACTAAACAAAAATGTGTCATAGTTTTAGGTAACAAATTGAATCAGTGTGGTTTTTGTTGGAGAATAATATTGTTTGTTTAAGAAGTGTCTATGCAGCAGCTATGTAGTAAGTTGGAAAATAATTGCTCAGCAGTTGTGTTTGGCCCATATAAAACAAAATGCAGCTGTAGATTTTCTTTATAAAAAAAGTAACAGATAGATATAAACAGCACTTTGAATTTATTTTTGACATCAATTCACATTCTGATACCTAAAAACACAAAAGCTATGATGCTTTTAAAAAAATTGAAATTACATGTGAGAAAGGGTTAGTAATGGATTATGAAATACAAGAAAATAACACATATAATTAACTTGATGTCCTTATACAAATATACTCATGTTTACTATTGAAAAATGATGGATTACAGAATAAAGCAAATCTCTAATTCAAAAAAGAAAATTGCTTAATTGCATATTCCAAAACTAGATGGAATAGCCTTTTTAAAAATTAAAATCATCAGATACTTGGTAAAAACCAAGTTTAAATATTACAGACCAATTTTGAAATTTTAAAATATACTTTTTTAGTAAAATTAGCTGTTAAGTTATTTTGTGACAAAAATGCCAACTTAAATTTTGACACAATTAATGGCCGACCTAAAGTCACACTAATTAAGAAAAAGTTTAAAATCTAAGTGAAATCAAATAATCACTGAATAAAAAAACCTCTATTGCATTAAAAGATTATATTTCAATAAGAACATATCATTTCAATAAGAACAGAGTTGCTGAATTTAATGTGTTATCTGCATAAAGCTCTCCAAAAGGATAATAGAAATACAAACTGATAATAAAAAAAATAAATTTTCCACATGTTTTTAAAACAAATATTCTCAATTGATGAGTATTCTAAATCAGAAATGACTTTGAATTCTATGTGCATATTCTTTATTTTGAAGTTAATCAAGTTGAAACTGATGAAACAGTGAATTGTGAGAAATTAATGAAAAAAGATTTAAACAAAGCCACTTGTAAACAAATAAACAAGTTGGTCACCATAATTAAACCATAATTAAATTTCTAAAAAATGAAAATAACAAAGATTGTGCAATTTTAAAGTTCTTTATGATTTTTAACTTTATTTACTTTTATTATTTTTAAAAAATTAATTTAATATTTTTATTCTTAAATTTTACATAATAAAGTTAAACATTTTGAATATTGGTTTTAGTACCCGTATTATATTGCTATAACACTAAAGTACTGGTATTACCCTATGAGCCAAATCTTTTAATGTTCTTTCTTTGACAACCTGAAAACTTGACTTGTCACTCCCATTACTTTTGCACAATCATCTACTACTATAATTTGATATTCTCCACAATATTTCTGCATCAATCCAATGTAATAGATTATTATAAAGAATAATTTAATTATTTAAAGTGGTAATTTATTAAAATAAATTAAATTAAAATTAATATATATTGAATAATATATAAAAGTAAATACAATTGAACTTATATGCCATCATTTAAATGGGTTCTAAATTTCAATTAGTTTTACAGATTTGAGTGGTGTGTCAAAATATTTTTTTGTGTGGTTTATTTTTCAACACAAACATAAATAGCAAAAAATTAAAAACCATTAAATTTTAAATGAGAAAAATTTTTTTTTTTTGTTATGAAAACCTCTATATTAAACATTATGTTCATCATGCTTTAAAAACTTTTATATATACTTTCTTAATGCTTTTATTGTCTAATAATGCCTTTCTAATGTTTAATAATGCCTTCCTAATTATTATTAGACATTCTTCAACACTTATAATATGATTAACAATGTTGACTTCACAAAAACACTTTTATAGAAATTTTAAGAATTTTTATATATACTTTCCTAATGCTTTTCTCACCCTTAAAATTTATTTTTAATAAATACAAAAATACTTGCATTTTATTGAAGATAAAATGCAGGTATATTTACAAAATACTTATATAACAAAATAAAAACATGCTTAAGTAAACCGAAACATATACAATTTCATTAAAACTTTTTTTTTTTTGAATGATCATTTTTAATTAACCAATTAAATTGAGATTTAATTATTATTCATTTGAAATTAAGATTCAAATAAACTGTATCACTGCTATCAACTGAAACAACAAAAACAACTTAAACAAAAAAACCAATAAAAACATACTGAAACACACTGTAATTATTTATGAAAATCAATTTAAAAATATGTGGATAACTTAAGCGACAACTTCACAAATTTTAAGAAAAAACAAGCTGAGACTAAAAAGTAATGATAATAATAAATAAAGTAAAATGAATCAAATTAATGAAAACCAGTGCAGTAGATTTTGACAAATGGCAAAGAAATCAAGCAAATTAAGGTTAATTATGTTTTTATAGAATTATTGCAAAATTTCCAACATATACCCAATCTAAACTAGATACCTGTTATAATAGTAGTTTGAAATTCTTGGAAACATATAAAAGTCTTGGAAACATATAAAATTCTTGATATTTAAGTTCTTTTTGAAAAAAAAAAAACTCTGAAAATAAAGACCAAGCTGCAATGACTTTGTCAGATTATTAACATTCAAATAAAATGCTAAAAAATTTCTAAAGTAAAACTGTATTAAAAATGTACAACCAATGTGCAAGTATATGTGCAAGTATATGTTCAAGTATAAAGTACAAATATAGAAATATTTGTTTGGCTTTCAAACAGCTTTAAAACTCAAAAATAAGGCAGGAGTTAAAAAGACTTAAAAGCAAATTAATTAATAATTAATCAATAAAATTATTGCAAAGTAAGTTTGAAAGCTAGTTGTCAATATGTCAGTTTTACATAAACAATAAAATCTTTTTAATTATAAAAAATTAAGGAATTTAAAAACATTTTTTTTAACTGTGTAAATAATTTTTAAATAAATAATTGACTTTCTAAGTTTTTCCAAGCCAAATAATTTTTATAATATATGTTATACTAATTCTCTATCTTTAAAAATTTACAAATAATATATTAAGTTTTAATATTATTAAAACCTAAATGTAATATCTAAATTAAAAACCTAAATATTATTATTCAACGAGTAAATTTTAAAAGTAAAAATTTTTATCTATTTCAACTACCCTACATATACAAATATAAAACACACTTGCATTTACCTGGAAAACAGTCAATGTAATAATAATTCCTCCAATTGCAATTGCAATAAAACTAGGAAACAAGTACTCCTCGTTACCTACACTTTCAATTAGAATCAACTAAATATTAGAAAATAACTTAATAACAATAATAAAGTTAATAATAATAACAATCATAACAATAACTAAAACAATAGTAATATAATCATAATAAAAACAATAATCATATGATAATAAAGACAATAACAATTTGAAAAAACTGTTTAGCTTGGTACTTTTTCAATTCAACAATTAACTCTAGCAACAAATAATTTACATTTGTAACAAACAACTACCACTAGTTATGATTTAGCTACAAGAACAACCAACTACCTTACCTTGAGTAAGTACCTTGAGTAACTACCTTGAGTAACTACCTTGAGTAACTAATGATTTTCCTTCATTAACAAACAATTACCTCTTGTAATGAATGTTAAACCCATGCATCCTGTAATAAGGATTGGTCTAAAAAACAAAAATTTAAAATTTATAAGTTCTAATTTTTAATTTATCAAAACTTTTTAATCAAAATACATCCTTTTTGGGATTTTAAAAAGTTTTTTATCAAAACTTTTTAAAATCCCAAAAAGCATGTATTCCATATTATAAAAAATGGCTAACTCATCAAAAAAAAAAAAAAAAATTGCTAAAATTTCTAAAAAAATTACAAAAAAGACAAATGGCATATTTTACAATATGCCATTTTCAACAAAGTTATTTATACAAATTAAAAATATACAATAACTTTCAATGTTGTTAACATTGTTATAATTATTGTTATTATTATTATTATTATTATTATTATTATTATTATTATTATTATTATTATTATTATTTATAGATATTCACCATGCAAATGATTTATTACAATTTTATTGGATTTGTCAGTAAAAAGCAAATTAAAAAAAAAAAAAAAAAGGATAAAATTTTAAAAATTTTTTGTATATTATTTAAAAAATTTAAAATATTAGGTATTTAAAAAATTTTTGCTAAAAAGAAAAAAGTATTAGCATATTTCTATCAATGAGCTAACCCTCCTATCATCCTAGCTACTTTTGGTCCAAATTTATCAATAAATAAACCAGCTGGAAACTGAAAAACATTAAAAACTGACATTGTAGTTGTAAAAACCAAGTTCAGCATATCATCTTGATGTGAGCAATCTATTATTGTAATTCCTTTATGAAAAAATAAATAAATAAATAAAATAAAAAGTATAAAATAAATTTTAACTTAAAAAAACTATTTTTGAAAAAAAAAAAGAAGAATAACACATTTGTAACAACGACCTAACCGTCTGTCATTGTGTTTATAGTATACTCTTCTGTGATTGAAAATCTATTGGCATCATAAGAGGTTTTGCACAAATCAAAATAAAATTGTTTTGCTTTAAAAATAACTAAAACGCTTGCCCAACCATACACAATACCTCCACACATTAAAATCTCAAACAAAATTGAGATAAAGAGAATTACTGAGTAAAATGTTTCACTCCAATTAAGCATATCTCTTTTTTTAAATTATTTAATCTTAAATCTAAAAAAAAATAACATTAAATCAATTTAATATTCGTTTTACAAACCTTTTGGTTTTTGTGAATATTGCATAGTAATAATCAATTATTAATATCAATTTACTAAGTGTATTCTGTTAATAGTATAAACAAAAATCACTATTACTATTATTACTACAATGCTTAAATGTTTTAATACCAACTAAAAGATATTAATTAAATTAAATACTTAGTCAGGGAATATGCTGTCTTCTTACTAAAAAGAAAAACAACACAGACTTTATTCAATCATTAAGTCTTTGATGACTTTATATTGTATATTATCATAACACGATTACAACTAAATTTTTATTAAATTGTTACACATCATAAAACATAGCCAAATCAGCGACAATTCAATTGTATATATCTAAGCGAATGAGACGATAAAATATTTAAAAAAAAAAACATTTTTTTTCCTTTATTTATTTTTTCTTTTTAATAATGCCATTAAATTTATGTAATAAATAATAACTTGGGCATAACATTACTTTTGCATTAATCAATTAGCACCAAGCTAAAATGCTTGAAAAAGAGCTAAAACTCAACGTGAAAAAATCTTTTTGACTATTATGCCCAAAGTAAAAGCTCTGAAATGTGTTTGTAATGTTTTTAAGACGTCTGAAACGTATTAAAACAAGTTTCAGACGTCTAACAAATATTTTAATACGTTTATAAACGTCTAAAATACGTTTTTAAACGTCTAAACTTTAATCGTTTAATATCTTATCTATCTATTATCTAATAATCTAAACTTTAATAATCGTTTAAATAATAATGCGTTTTTAAACGTTATCTTGCGAAAAGCAAAAAGCTTTAAGGTTGAAAATTATACGGAAATTTTCCGAAAATTTTCCGGAAATTTTTAACTCGGGAAATTTTCCGGAAACTTTCCGGAAATTTTGGAAATTATTTTCCAAAGTTTAGAGGTTTTGGTATTTTATAATTATTGGGCAAAATTTTATTTCTTAATTAGGCAGTTGTTATGGACAGTTTTATGGTAAAATATTGTGAAGCAGATCATACAGACGGTCGTTTAGATGTGGAAAGTTATTATAGGCAAGCGCAGTGTCAAATTCAAATATTATATTTTTAAAGATGGTGACGGCTTTTAGATACCAAAATTTTTTCTGAGTAGCAACAATATTTTTAAAGTTTTACTTAGTAGTTATTATTTGCATATTTTTGATAGAATGAAATAATAATAAAGATAATTGAATTGTTGATTCAAAAATGATAAAAATAATATAAAGATGTTTAAATATATAAAAAACTGTGATTCTCTGCTACATTTATCTGACTGTTAAAAGCGTGATTTGTTTACATTTTCAAAACTGTTTTTCTAAAAATCTGAGCGATACAATTTAATAATTTTTACTTTTTTATTTCGAATAGTCTTATCTTGATTTGAAATTGTTTTCAGATCTGACTATTCAATTTTTTTCTAAACAAAAATAGAATTCACCCAACACTACTTTTGTAGATGTATGATACATTTATATTAAGGTATATAGCTAATATATATATATATATATATATATATATATATATATATATATATATATATATATATATATATATATATATAATTATATGTGGATGATTATAATATAAATTATAATATATAATTATATGTGTATGACTATACTATAAATGCAAAAAAATATATATATAGATGAATTTCAAAGTGACGTCGCGCGTTTACATTTTTTCGGACGCGAAGGACACTGGCAGGATAGAAAGAAAACACGCAAAAGAAAATGTGGAGTGAATCTGATTACTTTTTAACATTAGAAGAAAACAATAAAGATGCATATAAAAAAAAATTAACTTTGTCAAATGGAATGTTACTCCCTGACCCTTTCGTACTTGAAAATTGGAAAAACGACGTTTCAATGATGCCCGACATTACATGGGGTGACATGTACAATTACCTTATTAACTCCCCAAGTAACTTTACACACGATTCAATGAAAGCCTATAAATCATTGGAATCGTACAACTTTTACATTTGTGGGCATGTTCAAGATGTATACTATAATTTAATTGAAGAAACGAATGAATTTTGTTTCATTAAATCTGAGGTAATTTTGCATATTACAAAGTAAAGTTCACCGTCAAAGTGCAAAAAAAAAGTGTTTGAAAAGTTAAAACCATAAAATTTATTTTGAGTAAAATGTAAAATGATATACGTTTTTACTTATTTATTCAACTTTTAATTTATTAAAGGCGCTTCCAAGTCAAAGACAAGGAAAGAAGCAGAAATGTTACGAAGTGTGGGTTGCAATAAATAAAGTTAATGGGTGGATTTTAACGGCAAATTGCAAATGCATGGCAGGGTAAGTACATTAATTAAATAATTTAATTTTAATTTTATTTTAAACAAGTATTTTAAGAAATTTAATTGGTTATACATTTTTGAAACTATAGATTGGGCTCTGTGTGTAGTCACATCGGTGCTTTGTTGTTTAAGCTTGTTGCGTGTGCACAGCTCGGTTTAAATAAAATATCTTGCACAAGCACATTGTGCAGTTGGAAAAAATCACGCAAATCAGCAACCCCAGCCCCACTAAAAAAAATAAACTTTTCGCGACCAAAGAAGCGTGAAACTCTTCCAAATATTAGTGACAATGAAAACTCACAGGATGAAAGACCTTACAGCTTTAAGGATCCTACACCAACTTCAGATAGTAAAAAAAAAAAGTTGCTAGAACTAAAAAAATTGTATAAGAATGCTGCTGTTCTTCAGTCTGTAGACATTAAAAATGAAAGCAAAGAACATTGTAGTGATACAGATACTGCGGAGGAGGATGACAGTTACAATGAATATAATTTGCCGGAACCACTTACTTCACTATATTTGCCTGCATCAATTAATTTAGATGATTCCACCTTAACAAAATATTGCGCAGAATCATACGAGGAGTACAAAATCACTCAAAGTGTTAACATGTACAGCAATTTACTTAAAGTTACAAATATTCAAAGCGCTAGTAGAATCTGGAAGTTGCACAGGGCAGGTAGAATAACAGCATCGTTATCAAAAACTGCGTACAACATAAAAGTTGATAAATACCCTAAGTCGTTTATAAACACAGTGATGCAATACAACGCAGAATTCATTACAAAACCTACAAGTTATGGTAAGAAAATGGAGACTGTAGCAATAAATTCTTACAAGCAATTTGTCGCAAAAACACATACAAATATAGTTGTTACAGAAACTGGATTGCATGTTCTTCACAAAAATCCATGTCTTGGTGCTTCACCTGATAGTATGATGTGTTGTGATTCATGGTTCCGGTGTAGTGGAAATTAAGTGCCCATATAAGTATAGAAATGGGTTAGAAAATTGGAAAACAGATACGGATTTTCCTGTAAATTTTGACAATACAGTAAAGAAAACACACCAGTATTACTTTCAAGTGCAGCAAGAATTGTATATTACTAATACTACATACTGCCATTTTTACATTTGGACCGAAGGAAAAAATGAAAATGATACAATGTTAATTAATGTTCCGATTGATAGGGTCTTTTGTGAAAAACTGGAAACAAAGTTGACAACAATATTTTTTAAATTTTTACCACCTGAAATAGTGTCTAGAAAAAATGATCTTAACAACCTTTTGAGCGATCAAACATACTGCATTTGCAAACGTCCAAGTTTTACACCAATGATTGGATGCGACGGAAAAAACTGCAAAATAGGATGGTTTCATTACAGTTGTATTGAAATAAAAAATGCCCCTAAAGGTAAATGGTTCTGCAAGGAATGCATATAAATAAACTAAAGGATATATTATATTTATTAAATATCTTACTTTGTCAACGACAATTTGGCACTTTTTTCAGAAATAAAAAATCAATAAACTGTTAACAATTATTTAGTAATATAAAATTTACTATTCTCGAGTCTTTATTAGAAGGGTAGGGGGGATTTCTATTAAATTTTTGAAAACTTTCCCACCTACCTTAAGCTTATTAAGACCACTCTGTTTATTAATTTTCACTTGTTATCAACAAAAAGTTTCTAAAACTATCGAAACTAAAAAAAATAATTCAGTGAAAATCGGCCTTATAATTTACAAAATATATACTAGTAACTAATAAATAATAAAACTTTTAGTATAAATTCTCACCCCCTACTTTCATTAGATCTTGACAAACCACCCCCTTCCCCTTGTATTAAGGACTCGAGAGTACTTGAGACAATCCAAATGTAAGATAATACAAAATAAAGTTAAAATAAAAAGGTTTTTCACTCCTATGAGCTTGGAGGAACAACACTACTGTTAATATTTACTAATGAAGTTATTGTTACCATCATCAAGTAAATCAACTTGAGTTAATGGGATAATGTTCTGAAGAATTCGAAATTTTCTTAACCGTCCAATTACCCTTTCAACATGGATTCTTACATGTGCAATTTGACGTGGTTCATCAACTTCAGCAGAAGACATCTGCTTTTTTCCTTTGGTAAACTTTGGTAATTTTAAAATCCCACCTTTTGTAGAAAATTCTTCAACAAGTGTAAATCCTCTATCAGCAAGTACACAATCTCCATGGGTTATTTTTTCTAAAAATCCAGATTTAATTGTAATTTCTTTATCTGAAACTCTACCACCCCATCCAGGGGATAAAAAACTTACAGCACCTGATGGAGTTATACCAATGAGATATTTAATTGTGTTGTTGTTTTTATAATTTGACCAAGTTTGAGCTCGAGCATGAAGACTAAGAGGTCTTTCGATGAGTATTTCCATGCAATCAATTATTGCAACACAATTATAGAACTTTTTGCGAAAACTTGTTGGCAAATTTCTTCGCAAAACATGCTTTTCTGGCCAAACAATTAAAAACTTAACATTTTCAGCAATAATTGGAAGCCAAGATCTATATATTCTAGTGACTGTTGGCTCAGAAAAACCAAATCTAAAGCTCAAGTCTTTAATTAAAAATCCAAGTTTGATTTTCATTAATATTAGCAATAAATGG